ACCAATTAGAAAAGTCTTAATATAAAAGTAGCTGGTGGAGGGTATTTAAGATTCGGCTCAGCCGAATTTAGCACTCTAACTTGTTATATTTTAAAATACGATTTTTTGCCACTTTGTTGGCTTGAGAATACTACTAATGCATTCTTAGAGTTAGGTACCGATTGACAGTAGACTTAGGTACTTTTTGACGCCGTTTCATTTCTTATTTATTCTTTGGTTATAAATAGGGTTTCCAAATTTCCAACGTTTTTTGATTCCTGGGAATCAGGGAAAAAATATTCACATTCCCGGGAACCCGGGAATTCCCTATAAAATAAAAAAATAATTAAAAAAGCGTTTATGCGATGTTTTATTGAATTTTTGTAACTTAGAAAATTGTATATATAAAATCAGGGTTGGCAATAGTTTTGAAGCAGTGAAAAGATAAGGGTAACGGCATTTGGATTATTTCGGTAACGTTATTTTAGCGGTAATGGTAGTGAGATAAAAGGGTATTTTAAATATAGGAAAAATTAATTCGGTAGCGATATTTTAGAAATAACGGTAGTAGAGCTGACGAAACGTAGCCAAGCATTATTTAAATAAAGCAAATAAAATACTTTATTATTTTCTTTTTAAATACATACATATGCGTATGTCTGCATTGAAGTGTCCCGCGGGCATCTTTTTGAAGGAATACCTGTCCATTTTTGTTGTATAAAATGTGTTACAATAAACATGGTTGCATTTTTACTAGATTTTAATTCCCGGGATTCCCGACTAAAATTCCCCGGAATCGGGAAGATAAAAATCACTACATTTCCCGTGAATTTTTTTCCCGGCGCTTCCCGGGAACGAAACCCTAGTTATGAAGTTGTTTAGTTTTGCCTGGTCCACACTGGAAAACTTTTGATGAGAAACTTTTTTTAATTCTCTTTTGAACATTTTCTTAATGTCTACACATATGTAGAAACTTTCGTTTCAGAAACTACGTATTAATTACAAACAAAACAAGTTTCCGACTTTTGATTTTGCGTGAGAGAGAAAGAAATATCATTCATTTCTCTCGCGATACGGAGTTTAAATGGAAATAAATCACATGTAATATTCATAACTGGTGTAGGATATCATATGGTAGGCCACGCCCGACTAAACTTTCTAAGTATATTAATATATGTTTTAATATTTTAGATATATGGGCAATTTCTTGACAAGTGACCCAACATTTACAATGTCTTCCGATTTGGATAGTAGGCCAGACACAAATTTTCAGCTCTATCGGTCAAGAACTGCCGTACTTAGAGGGGGTCAAAGTTGGACATTTTGGTCATACAGAATTTTATTCAAATGAGTGTAGCTTTTCTTCTATTGGTACTAGAAAAAATTATCTAAAGGAGTTTAGATAGCTATTTCTTCACTGTTTCCAAATTTTGTTTTTTTTTTATTTTTGTTTTCCAAGAAATTGATTTTGTTCATTAGTGTCTGAAACTAAATGATGTTCAATTTTAGTCCAATCGGATAACGGAATCGATAAAATAATAGGTAAATAATAGGATTTTTTTATTTTTTCAAAGATTGTACCAATAAAATTATATATAAATGTAATTTTTCCAAATTTTAAAGAGTTTGATATTATACCTTAGGACTCTCTAGACAATATAACAAATTTAATTATTCATTTCACACACAAAAAATATTATTAAATTATGTTTCTTTTCAAAGTACAACCAAATTCGAATACTTATGTGAGACACTGTAAGAGAATGTAATAAATGAACAATGAGGGATAAATTCAGATCCGTAAGTTTCTATTTAAGGAATAAAATGTCAATAAAATATTCGAAATTTATTATTTGTTTTAATTTAAAAAATGTATCAAAAAAATTACTAAAAATTGGGCCAAAAAAATGAAATCTGGTTAAAAGTGGGATAATTTCAATGTATATTGCCTTATTTCTGAGTTGATTGTTAGATTCTCAAAACAGGTGCAAGCACCTAAACATCAATTCTCATTTTCAAATATTTTTCCAGCACTACTGAAATTAAAACCACCTTATCTCAAAATTTTTACGTATAAGAAAAAAATTTTAATTAACCCCCGGCTATAGCCCTTTCCTAAAATATAAGTTTCATTCCATGAGCAAACAAAAATTTTAATTTGTTAACTTTTGTTATTTTATTAAAATAATTTATCGGTTGCTATTTTTCCAAAGTCAATTTTTGAATAGTTATTTTATTAACTTAACAAAATTTTTAAACAACAACTTTTTCATTGAATACAAATAAAATTGTTTCCAATTTTAGAGCTCTAGTTTTTTCTGTGTACGATCGAATTGGAATTCCGTTAAAAATAATATACATATGAATGTTTAATTTTCAGGTGAATTAAAAAAATATAAAAATAGTTAGAATTGGATTTAAAAATTGCATGAAAATAATAATAAATAATACTTGAATTACATTTGAAAAGTTTTTTAGTTGTTAAGCTTACCTCTAGCCTATTTTTATATTCACTATTTGTCATACGAAATATTGATCATAGACCCATAAAAGTATACATATTCTGTGTCATTATTAAATTCTAAGACGATTAAACCATGTCCATGTCTAAACAATTAAGTGTTATACAAACCGAAATCTATCTTCTAAATTTTACGACAATTGGACAATTACGACAATTGGACAATTACGACAATTGGTCTATAACCCTACTACCATGTACATATGGGAAATTCTCTTTTTAATTTAGATTTTGGGGTTCAAAAAATGATGAAGTTTTTTAATAGCACATCAACGTTGTCTATTATCTTATTTTTTTGATTGAGAGTAAATTAAAAATTACTCTCTATCATAAAGTTACTGGATATTTTTTACTGGAAAGTACGCGAACAGACCTATTGTCAGCTACCGATTAATGTTAAGTGTGCTTCGTCGAATTACCTTGTAACTCAAGAAACGCCACGAAAATTTTGATGAAATATCTATCTGCTTTTTTCATTTCTAAATTTAAATGAATTATTAATCCAAAAAACCGTTAAAATGAAAACCAGTCCAATTAGTTTAAATTTTGTAAAGAAATTATATATCTACATGAATGAACTTTTTCATACTTATCTAATGAAAACCCGTACTTTTTTCAAACGGCTTATCGATTTTCGTATAAGCATCATTGTCAGCTACCGGTTGATGTGTAATGTCCCTAATTTAAACTAGCGGCTTAGGTGTGCTTCATCGATTTTTGTTGTGAAAGAAACCCCGCTTATTCAGTCCACGAAAGGCCTTGATTAAATTTTTTTGATGCAAACCAATTCTTTCTATATAAAGATTGATTACTGATAAAATTCAGAATTTAAAATTTGTTTATAATACAAAAATTCGCTAAAGTAAAAAATAACAAATTTATGATTTATGATTTCAACATGTAAAATTTAAAAGTTTTTCGATCACGCGATATTTTAGGTATATTGAAGTTACGTTGTTAGTGTGCTTCGCGAAAAAGCCCTTTTCTCGAAACTTTCACGTTTATTTTTCCAATATTTAAGCTTCTCCCAATGTGATATTTTCTTGAATACATTTTGGAGATATACATCAAACGGCGCGTAATTACATTGTCTACTTCTTCTCATTAAATTTTACATAACCGAAGAGCCGCAAATATTATATCCAAAAAACTGCAAATTTTGTAAAATTGTATAAATTTGCTTTCAAAACTTTGCAACCACGTAATTCTTTGCTTATAATTCGCACAACAATTTAATATACGTAGACTATAGTCATTCGTCAAGTGTATACTGCCTTCATTAGCAAAATTGACTTTCTCATTTGTAAGCCGCCCTCACAATATCCAAAAGTTGTAAAAAAACTACTTGGTTTCAATCAGTTTTTTGAGAAATTTTGACTTAAAGTGTTTATTATCTCCAACATGGATCTACTCTCGACCACAACATTTTATGGACGTATTCTTTCAAGTCTTGTGAATAAATATTCGTCATCACTTAATTTTCAAAATATTAAACGAAAGGAATATTTAATGCATAAAGTTGATTTCTTAAAATCTAAAACAAAAAAAGAATTTCCCATATGTTTAAGGTTAAAAAATTGGACAAAAATATTTTGTTTTTAAAAATTAATATTTTGTTAATTCAAAAGAGCTCTGTCCATATTTGACTTAAGAGCATTCCTTTTACGGATAGTGGCTATATAAGAATATAATACATTAAAAAATACTTTTGATATCTAAATGCCTTTTTGTTTGAAAAGGCTATTGTAAATTTGAAAAGACAAATTTTCAAATTTACTTATTGTTATCAAAAGCATTGTATAAATTTAATTTCTGTATTTTTTGCATCGAGAAAAGTTGTCGGAAAACGGGGCGAACACAAGAAATTTAAATATTTCATTGCGTACATTTTGAAAATAGATTAAATAACCCTGTTAAAAACTAGAAAACTATCATTTTCTTTTCTCGGTTCGAGAAAAATACAGAAACGAGGCACAAGAGCGTAAACATTTTCTCTCGCTGCCAATTATTACAAGTTCTATTTTGTACTAGTAATAATTATCCTATAGAAAATTCAACAGCTGTCTTTTGTTTACCTTTTAGCCAGCCAACAATTTTGTGTTTGTTTTAAAATAAAAATGTTTGCGAAGTAAATTATTTCTATATTACGTAAAATGCAGATTTAACTATTTTGGAAGCCTTAATTCTAGTTTAAAACCAAAATTTTTAAAAATATCGACGGTTGAAAAATTACATTTTTGTTTTCATGCAAGTTTTTACAAGTAAAGCGTTTATTTATTTTTTACTAATTTTGAGAGTAATTTTATAAATTTTGATTTTACTCTCTCGTTACAAGTATTTACTGGGAAAGTAAATGAACAGACCTACAATTATTTCCCTCTTTTTGCATTTTTATATCACTGTGCAACACAAAGAAAAACATACAAACATTTGGATGCACTAATTATCTTGGTTTCAATACAAACACATTTCAATTCCTCTTTTTATTTGTTTGAACAAGTGTGAACAAGTAGTCATTTCAGTTCCTTAGTATAAACAAATAACAAAAATTAAAAAAAAATACAAATTCGTATACATTTGTATATAAAAATATATGATAATTTAATTAAAACCAAAAGACATTTTACATGCAAATAAACTTCGTTTTGTCCCGACGGAGCCAATCAGCAATTCAATCAAACTGGAGGGGGATAAATGTGAACCTATCTACAAGTACAAATACAGGATGAGTAAGTTGATCAATCGTAATATTGTTTTTATTATTTTATTTCCATGAATATTTATATCCTTGCACGCATACTTACATATTAATGGTGAAAGGTTAACACCACGTAACACGCTTACTTCTAAAAATCTTGAAATAATCTTGTTTAAGTGTTTAAAATAATTTACAACTGTAATTGAAATATTTGTAATAATTTGTATGCATATGTAATTACTCATGTTATGTGTTTCACCATAGTGTCAACACCCGAACTTTTTTTAGCTTTTATTTTTAATATAATGAGGTTTCCTAATAATTATGTATGTACAGTGGCGAGCAAAAGTGTATTCATGTTGGTCAATGTTCTAATAAAATGGCCATAAAATTGTTTTTGCCTAAAATATTTTTACGAAAAGTAGTACTAGAAACGTCATGTAATAATTTAGCATATTGTCTGCATTATTGCCCCTTTCCGTCAGAATTTCGATTCGGTGTCCCATTTCCACACAAATTTTTAAAATGACCCAGCTTCCATTTATGGCAGAAAATATTTTTTTCATCAAAAATATATCGAAATTAACGAAAAATTCAACCTAAATGCTTTATTATGAAAAATAACACACATTTTAGATATACTCATGACTGATTTAGGTCGGCCACGCCCGACTATACTTTTTTATTTGTTTCTTCTGCAGCGTTGTATTTTTTAGTACAATTTGGCAAAAAACATTTCTGCATTTCCATTTTTACTAGATTTTGAGTAGTAGTAAAAACCAACTAGATTTGCTCGAAATCTCAGGTTTCGCTGTAGTGTAAATGGGTTATAAGTGCGTATTTTTTAACTATCTATCCGATTATAATCGTTTTAGTCAATAATTTAAGCCCATGTCTTGTAGTTTAACAATACTTTTGTTATAATGTTATAGTTTGAAAATAAGGATGTTTTTAAATGACGTCCTTTAGTCAAGGATATCTTAAAAAAGGTTCCTTCCATTTTCTTTATTTCTTCACATAAAATTGCTTATAGTGTTCTCAACAAAATATACAAATTTCAGATTGGGATAATGAAATTTAGTCAATAATTTAAGCCTATGTCTTGTAGTTTAACAATACTTTTGTTATAATGTTATAGTTTGAAAATAAAGATGTTTTTAAATGACGTCCTTTAGTCAAGGATATCTTAAAAAAGGTTCCTTCCATTTTCTTTATTTCTTCACATAAAATTGCTTATAGTGTTCTCAACAAAATATACAAATTTCAGATTGGGATAATGAGGGGATTCCAAGTAAATAAACTTTTAGTAAAATAATCCACATCATTTTCAATATTTACAGTTTTATTTCTTGATGAACACAAAAATAAATTTTAAATTTTTAAACAATTGGGGACAAAACCAATTTAAATCGGATAAATAGTTTAGAAAATATACGATGACAAATTTAATGCTTGTTGAAAAAAAAAAATCTAAAAAATGTGAACTTTGAACCTTGGTAAAATCTAAACTGTAATGAATTTGGAATTTTTTCCATGTTCGACGTGAAAAAAGTTTTATTGTACATAGATGCTTTTAGGAATCGATATTAATTTCTTGTATAAAATATCATTTATAGCATTAAATATTAGTTCTCAGCAAAATATATTCAAATTTTGTTAATGAGTAATGTAGTTATTTCATATATTACTTGGTAATGTGTGGTCGTTATCAATAACATTAATTAATATTTTTAAATAGGATTAGTAGCCAATTAGTAGCGCGTATGTTTAAAAAAGAATTACTTAATGATTCTAACCCTGGTCAATATTAGAAGTTTTTTGAATAAAATAGCACGATAAAGTAACTTGTAAAAGGAGCATTGAGTTAGAGAACAGACTAATAATCACAGAAAATAACTGTAAAGCCTGTTTGAAATCCAGGAAAGTCGGGTAAGCACATTTTTAACCACTTATTTTTTGGTCATCGTCGAACAAAAATAAGTAGTTATTCACCCAAAAAGTAAGTACGTACACTTTGCTCCTATATTACTTGCCTATTTACCGGGTAAGTAGAGATTTTGCTGGGTTATTAAGCTTTAGTGGGTTTATAACAAATTCCCTTACCATAATAATATTTGTTTACTAACGATTTTCAAACCTTACAAAACTTGATGTTCATAGTTGTCTTAGCACGTTTTCAAATACATATGAATGCCTACAATATACATCCTTACATAAATATACATATATGTATTTAGTTGTTTCCTATAATCTATTTGTTTTTATTTAAATCTTTTAAGGTCTCGATTTCCTGGAAAACTTATCAAGTGATTATGAAAATGCTCTAGTTTTAACTGGATTTGGAAAGTTTCATTTGCTTTTGCTGACAATATGTGGCCTAATTTACTTAAATACTGCTATTGGTGTAACCATATTATCATTTGTTCTTCCATCAGCGACATGCGACTTTCAAATGACATCTCAAGATAAAGGATGGCTGTCTGCTTCACCCATGCTTGGAATGCTTCTAGGTTCATATTTTTGGGGATGTTTGGCCGACACCAAAGGGAGAAAAATTGTACTTATTGCAACTTTAATAGCAGATGGAATTTGCGGTTTACTGTCATCAATAGCACCGTATTATCTAATGTTTCTGTGCATACGATTTTTCAATGGATTCAAGTAAGTTTCAAATATTTTTTCGTGTCCCTTTTAATATTAATATATACATTAGAGTGTCCCGAGAACAGCGTTTTTAAGAATTTCTTGTAGGAATACCTCTCAATCGTTGCGTATTAATGTACTGAACAAAGAATAAACAACCCAGTTGGGCTTGTCTTTAAGACATCCTCAACGATGGGTACACGACAATGTAAAGTCCTGGAAAACAAATGTAGGACAGCCGGAACAAATCGTCAAAGACATTTTCGAACAAGTGTCGCGAAAATCGTGGACGACTAGATGAGAGACAATGTCGCTCAGTTTGTCCTTCACCCAAAAATATAGATTAATTCCACCATTTTATCATCAACGACTATATAAGCCACAATATCATCCACTTTGTCGTGAACGATTATATGGGCGACAAGATCATCCACTTTGTCGTCAACGATTATATGGGCTTTGTCGTTAACGACTAAATTAGCGACAATATCGTCCACTTTGCCGTCAACGATTATATGGGCGAAAATGTCCTCAGCTTTGTAATTAACGACTATATTGATGATAGTATCATTCACTTTGGCGTCAACGATTACATGAGTGACAATGTCCTAAGCTTTGTCGTTCACTTTATTTTTTAAAAGAAAATGTTTTAAGTTGAATAAAAATATTTTAAAATATCACATTTAATTCAAAAACAATATTTATTTCATTTGAATACATTTTTAAAAACATATTAATTGTTATAAAAAGTGTTATTGAGAATTATTTAAATTTTCTTTATTGTATTGTCTAGCTTTTTCCTTATTGTAAGTATTCTTGATTCTACGAAAGATACCTCTTAAATCTTTTATAAATTCCTCATAGGTATATCCCTCTTTTTTTGCGGATTCTGTTTAAAAAATATGAATTTTAAAAAGTTATAGATATGTTTTTTTATTGCCAAGTAATATGTCTTAAAAATACTCACCATATAAAGCTTTGAGTACATTTCCGTATTTATTATTAAATTAAATATATTTTGATAACACTTTTAATTTCACTTTTAAACACTTTAAAACACTCTTACTTATGCAACTGTTCGCACTCAAATGAGTTTTTACTTTTTTATTTTGCCCTTTTTTCAAATGGCAGTTATTTTACATTTTTTTTTTTGCAATCACACTGCATAGAAACATTGACTCTCATCAAATAGAATTAAATAGGGGACAACTTGCAAGACAATGTCGCTCATCTTGCCGTCAGTATAGTCCAATATAAGACAACATCCAAGACATTGTCGCTCATATCATCATCGTGTGTATTTGTTAGAAGAAAATATTTAAGATTAGTCGCTCATACTGTCGTCAATAGAGTTATTTAAAAGACATCGTTGAAGACATATTATCTTAAACCAGTGATGCCAGGAGATTTTTTTCAGAAATCCCTACGCTTATGAGAAAAAATCCCTTTTTTCCCTACACCCACTTTTTATTTTCCCTACATTTTTCCCTACACTACTTTTTTCCATTTTTTCCAAGTTTATCTTAAAAAAATACACAAATAACATAAAAAACTAAAATATTAGCTGTTTTATAATATACATATATATATGTTTTTTTTTGTTTAATTTTTAGGAATGAAGTTTCTAGAATTTAAATTTTTACTTTCAATTTTACATCATACAAATCTTCCAACCCTGACTCTTCAGTTAAGATTAAAAAAAACAAGACAATTGAGAGATTTATGGCAGCATCACGATTCGATGTTAAAAATTTATTTTATGTGCCCCCAACAAAAAATTTAATAAAATTTAATATAATTATTTTAAATAAGGTTTACTTTTGCGTTTACTTTTTGCGGTTTACTTTTATAAATTTTCAGAACATGAAATTATTTTTTTCAATCCTGAGTTACTGCATTAAGCCCCCGACTACTCTATCTATAAGGAGTCAGAATATATCGCCCTACAGGATTGGCATAATCCAAAAAAGTAGTTTCAAGAAAAAAGGGTAAGAATATTTAATGACATTTAACTATTTTCTTTGATAACTTTTAAACAAATCAAGGGATTTTAAAAATCCAAATTCAGATAGTTGAGTTTAATATGTTTCTCATATAAATTGAAATTCAATTTTTAGTTATCTAATATTCACGAAAACGTGGGTTTTAGTTTTTACGTTCACAAAAAATCGTTTTCACATCGAAAATAATAGACATATTAGAAATTTGATAAATCTATATGAAAGATTTTAGTATGTCGCATGTTTTTTAGACCTCAGTTCAAGAAACCCGAATTTTGGATTATGCCAGGCTTGTAGCGATAGGTACTAGGGTGATCGATTATTCGAATTTTCCAAAAACCGGTTTTCGAATAGTTCGAATAGTTGACATTTAAAAAAAACCGGTTGATATTTTTCAAATTCAGAAAAAACCGGTTAACCGGTTTTTCATTATATATAAAAAAATATATTTTAATTTGAAAAAAATAATGTTTATGTTTAAATTTGATTAATAAAACATGGCCCGAACAGTTTAAAAGATTAGAACTTTAGATCTAGTCGTCTGATTTACATTATTTCTTTAAAATAAACAAGTAAGAAAGCATAGTCGGGCGTGGCCGACCATATGATACCCTACACCAGTTATGAATATTAAATGTGATTTATTTTTCATAATAAAGCATTTATCTTCAATATTCCCTTGTTCCGATACATTTAAGCAATTTATGGATGAAAAACTAATTTTCTGAAAGAGGCTTTATATGGGGACTAGGGGCAAATATGGACCAAGCTCGATAAAATTTTGTGAATATATTTATATAATATTTTATTGTGCTGAATTTCATCGCGATATTTGTGTTTATAAGTTAATTTTGGACATTCAAGTAATTTTCTGAAGGGGACTTTGTATGGGAGCTAGGGTCAAATGGGGCCCGATCTTTATGGAATTTGGCAGGGTCATCAAGACTTCTATAAAACTTAGTTGTGCCATATTTTATAGATATATCTGTATATTTTACATAATTATGAGCTCAGAAGCCCTTTTCGGGGGGTTCTGTTCTATGGGGGCTAGGTGAAATAATGGACCGATTTTAACCATTTTCAATAGGCTTCCTTGGGTCAAATAAAACGTGCGTGCCAAATTTCATCCACTTATCGTGAAAATTGCGACCTGTACCTTGCGCACAAGGTTTACATGGACAGCCAGACGGACGGACATAGCTTAATCGACTCTAAGCCGATTGGTATACTTTAAGGTGGGTCTAGGACGAATATTTTTGTATGTTACAAACATCAGCACAAATCCAATATACCCTCCCCACTAAAGTGGTGTAGGTTATAAAAAAAAATTAGGAAAAAAGTGGGACACTTCTGTTAAACATAAAGTACTATGTAATCCTAGCTTATTCTAAAAGCCCTGTTTAGAAAATTTGCATAGGCATTCCAACACTTCCATAAAATTTCAGCCGTAAATTAATTATTATAATTGGAATATAATCTTAAGATTGATAAAATTTTATCAAATAGTTATCAATTTTACAAATAATTTTTTTTAATTAATTAGGAAAATCAAAAATGTTTAACCAAAGGAGCTTTAGAAAAATATACGCTAGTTCCTCGACTCGAATATTTTTAAAATTTAGACGGGCTGTATTATGATTTACTTAAAAATTTCATTTAAATAATGTTTGAATACAAAGCAAATAAAAGTATTCGAAACCGGTTTTTAAAAAGTGAAAAAACCGGATTATTCGATATTCGAAAAATCAGCATTAAGAAAAAACCGACACTGGTAATGCAGAAAAAACCGGTTTTAAAACCGGTTGAAAAATCGACTCGATCACCCTAATAGGTACACATATTGTAGAAATTACGAGCGGAATTTTTACTAACGATACACTTAAAATTGATTTCATTTTTAATTTTAAAGTTTAATACATGAAAGAGTATATTTTTAGTTGATAAAAACTATGAAATTGAAAAAATCCCTACAACTTGACAATAGTAAGAAATCTTTCCCCTTTTCCCTACACGTGAAATTTTTTAAAAAAATCCCTACAAAAAGGGAAAAATCCCTACACTTGGCATCACTGTCTTAAACTGTCAGTAATATAATTAATAGAGAGAAGTATATACGAGTTTATTCTCTCAATAGCTTATATAGATGACGATTTTAAAGACATTCGCTTGTATTTATAAAAAAATCTTATTTTGCTTTTAATGCACTCAATAGTTAAAGCACACTTTAGCCTTAAAAACCATTAATAAAATTGTGATATTCATAAACAAATAATAAACGTATATTAACTATTGTGCTGATTTATGTTTAAGTTGGCAGCACTGTACAATATGGCTGTCATTTTATGTGTTAGTGTTGCGTACAATTAGGATAAAATATTCGTTGATTCGGTTTTCTTAATTTCATATTTTTGTTTATAATAGATTTTTGACAATAAAAACAAACTTTTAAGAAAAATAAATATATATATGGCTTTAAGAAATGTCTATTTAGTTCAGATGTATAAATATAACATATAATTTCTAATTATTATTAAAAGTATCCGAATAACGGATATTTTGCGACAAAATATACATCACTATGACACATTTTCTTATTTGTACTTATTTTGCTTGTAATTTTTGATAAATTTTTGCAAATATTGATAAATTTCTTTGATATTTGACTAATTTTAATGCCGGCGAATATATTTTGCATTAGTATAACACTAATCAATATAATTTACATGGTTAATTACTTTATGGCATTATATTTAACCAACAAACTTTGAAAAAGCCAAATCAAATGATTTTGTCCATCATTTGGTTGACAGACGGGCATTTCCAAATTGCCTAAAAATAGTGCTGGACAATTGGAATATTGTCAAATATTCATGCATTAATCCAATAATGCCTAGATTTGAGTTTTTTCCTCAAAATATAATCGTTTAAAAATTTTCTGGGATTTTATTTACAAATTTGTAAACGTTAAAATTAGAATTTTTAGATTTTATATTAAAAGAAACCGTAATTACTTTTCGC